CACGAAGAAAATGATCAATATCCATTTTACCATAATTTCGATAATGTGCTACCAAATGACAATGTTCCTCCTGACATTCCAAATCAGAACAATCGGCGAAATCGTAATCGAGTAGTTCCAGTTCGTAATCATCCACAAAGAATTCGGCATAGACCTGCCTATTTGAACGATTATGTTTAATTGAGTGTTTACAGTAATGCATGCTATTTCATAGGACTTTAAATCGTTCACAGACAGTGATGTTAATTGTTTAGTTTCTCTGAGGTTTCTTTGTGTTTATTGATAGTGTTTAATCATATATGTGCTTAACTAAAAGGGGGGAAAATATGTTGTGTCTAGGTTCGAACGTATGTGACGCCGAAACAGTATGTACGCTTCTGGTTGCTTGCTTTGCACGAGGTCACATGACGTCATTCACTTTGTAGTAGGTCGGCGGGCTGACCGCCATTGTTGTAAGAATTTCATGTATAATAAATTTAAGTTTTAATCAACTATGCATCTTTATGGCCATCGCAAACACAACAAAACTGATTTCAGATTTCAATGGTAGTGCTTGGACCAAGTTGAAAATTCATATTTCAAATACAGAAATAACATGGTGCGCTTACTTTAATCAAAGACATTTTTTATTGACATAATTCAAAATGGCCACCATCCTCGATATTCAGAATACTATTTCTGTCATAACTTTGCTTCTAGTACACCAATAGACATAATTTTGATGTCAAAATATATGTTTTCAGGGTCAAGGAATTCATTTATAATGGTTTTTAATCCCTGTGGGCAAAGTAAAATAAAATATTCAATACTCAGCAAGAATTGCCAGAGATCCCTACGGTGTACCATATAAATTTTATCCAAAAATTTTTAGTTTTTGTCATTATTGTTACAAGAAATGTTCAATATAATAAACTGTTCCACTACATACCCTTCTACCAGCCCAACAACATTTCCACTACCAGTCCTAAAACATACCCTTTTAACAGTCCAACATCACTCACAACCAGTTCAACAATATTAGCTACTACTACTTCTATAACAACCCTTACCACCAGTGTAACACCATCTACTACCAATCCTGCAACTTCCTGACAACATGTCCTTAAACACCACAATATAATATAATAATAACCAGTCCAACAACCTCCCCTGCTACCAGTCCAAACACTTCACCTACTACCCGTTCTACAACATATTCTACTACCAGACCAACAACCTCCATTGCTATTAATCCAACCACTTCACCTATTACCAGTTCTACAACATATTCTACTACTAGACTAACAACCTTCCCTGCTACCAATCCAACAACTTCACCTACTACCAGTTCTACAACATATTCTACTACCAGACCAACAACCTACCCTGCTACCAATCCAACCACTTCACCTACTACCAGTTCTACAACATATTCTAATACCAGACCAACAACCTCCCCTGCTACCAATCCAACCACTTCACCTACTACCAGTTCTGCAACATATTCTACTACCAGATCAACAACTTTCCCTGCTACCAATCCAACCACTTCACCTACTACCAGTTCTACAACATATTCTACTACCAGACTAACAACCTCCCCTGCTACCAATCC